CAGCCACAATTGTTAAACATTCGTTCAAGTTACATTTCAATACCAAGAAACAGGCTTTAAAGTGGATCTAGCATGCTTGGCCAAGCTATCTGCATCAGTGTTGTTACCCCTTTTTATAAATCTGAAACTGTAAGCCTGACTTGACCTAGCCATTGAGCAGATATCTTTAATGTACCATTGAGCAGATGTCTCCATCCTTGATCATTTCTCCACAATGCTTTGTTGCTGAGTTTTTGATACAATTCTTTAGCATCACCATAAAACACACACTAATTAGTAGTCATCTTTTTCCATCTAAATTAGCACCTTCTAAAATAGTTCATTAATTAGTAGTCTTTCATCTCATTTTTAATTGAATTTGGAGTATCATTTTTCAAAAATGATTTCCAACGAAATCATAGCCAGTTAGAATATCAGTTTGATGTCGGCACTTTCTAGCAAAACGTATCACTCTCTAAGGAAGAAATTTGCAAATAACTACAAGTTTTATTTGTCTTTTTCGGATTAATTTGATTTTATTTTCAGTCGGCTATAAATAATATCAAAACACTTATATTTTGGTATAGTTTGGTACAGTAAACAGAAATGGACACATGAACAGGGTTTATTTGCCATATAACCAACAAAATTTTTAATAACTCATCAACTAGCCAAAAATAAGCCAAAATTACTTTATGTGGCATAATCATAATCACAAAATTTAGGATAATTGGCTAGTTGATGAATTATTGAATTTTTCTTGGTTATATGGCAAACTAGGTGATTTTTCCGCTGATAAATTATTTATGTAGTTTTGTTTTTAATTTTAGTTTTTAAAAATTTGAAATATGTAATTGTTTTGCTTTTTATTATAGACATTGTTATTAATTTGTTTGGTCGATAATATTGTTTTTATTAATAATATAAATTTCAGAAATTTAGTTTTACCATTTAATTATTTTATATATGTAAACTTGTCAAGTCAAAATGTATAATAATTTAATACATTAGAGTTAAAAAAAACCATTATAAATTTGGCTTTCTGAATTTCTTAAGTAGAATTTAGAATACAAATAAATTATTTAATATTTTAAAATATTAAAATATATTATCATAAATTTTATAAATAAAACACAGATTAAAAAAAATATTGCTTTCGAATTAAAATTGTTTTTTATTACTTTCAAATTGTCTTGCGTTAAAAAAAACATTTCAAAAGAATAAGAGAAATTTTGAAAAATGCAAATTTTGAAGTGCCACTTTTCATAAATGTCATATTTTCAAAATCTTTGCAAAAGTGCTACTTTTTCAAAAAAAATTACTCATTTTATCATTTATGTTTGGGTTAACTATGTTGTATTAGAGATTAGTTTTGAGGGTTTATGGTTTGTTAGGGGTCAAAACCAATTTTTAGATGTAAAAATTTAAAATTTAGGTGTTAAAAATTTTTAATTAGTGGTTTTTTTGCAAAAGAACAACCCATAATGATATTTTTGAAAAGCTGCACAACAAAAGTGATATTTTTGCAATTGTCCTAAAGAATAATTTATATTTTTTGTTATAAACTTGGGAAGTTTTTTTTACAAACATATCAAAATCTCTTTTAAAAATTTGGTAAGTTTTTATTATTATTTTCAAAAAGAATATATATTCTATAAAAATGTTCTATAATTTTACTATTACAATAATCAATTTCTAAACTATTTTTAAATGAGAAACCAAATTTTTATAAAAACTTAGAATAAAACAAAAATCTGATAATATATTGATTAAAAACTCTTTCGATTTATTTATGATAGGAATTATAAATTTAGTTGTAAAATTTGTTATTATTGATTCAAAATTGTCATGTCATAGATTTTGACAAGTTATGTCACAATTGTAAAAATGACACATAAGGATTTTCTCACAAATCACTTCTTAATTAATATATAAAGGATGAACCCTTGAACATAAACGAATTCCTAATATATTAGAACACTGTACGTTTGTTGTGGCCGTATCGAGTAAAATATTAATTTACAATTACCAATTATTGTGTAGTCTGTGCAACCAAATATTATACTACCAATTATTACGTCTATATATATGTACACACAAATATGGTAACAGCTACCGCTTACCTGTAATCTTAGTATCTAACAGTGATTAGTTTAGCAGAACCAACACTAAATAATACAGCAATGAATCAAAATATTAATTGACGGATCGATATAGTATTATTATAAACAAATGTCAATGTAGATAAGGTGGTTAGGGTGATACCTTGGGAATAGTTTCACCGTAAAATGTGGGATTGTAGAGCACAAACCGATGGGGAATCAAGTTTTTTAACAAACCCGAATATTTTGATATCTGGGAGATTCGAGCCACCCACTCTCTTGTCGGAGGAGAAGTTAGAATACGAGTTGAATTTTGATTGTCACTCACACATGTCACACCAAGAGATCAATGGAGAAAGGTAAAATATGCATATTCCGTAAAATTTCTTGCTTCTGTTACTCGTTTTTTTATCTCTTTTGTTTGTGTTCCCATACAGAGATAGAAGAAGAAAATGGTAGGAATCCTAAGATCAATAGGTACTGGATCCAACGTTACGATCTGTTCTCGAGATATGACAAAGGAATCGAAATGGATGAAGAAGGATGGTACTCTGTGACTCATGAAGAAATCGCAGTCAAACAAGCAGAGAGGTGTCGTGGGAAAGTGGTGATTGATTGCTTCTCAGGCGTTGGTGGTAACATTATTTAATTTGCTAAAGTGTAAGCTCTCTCAAAAACAAGATGACAAGTATTATATATATATATATGGATGTTTTAACAAATAGATGTTCTTCTGTAATTGCTATCGACATTGATCCAATGAAGGTGGAATTGGCAATCAACAATGCAAAGGTTTATGGAGTTGCTGATCGTGTGGATTTGTCATTGGTGATTTTATCCAGTTAGCTCCATCTCTCAAAGTAATATCATTTTTTATCTGCATATATAAAGATTCGATATACCCTTTTGTTCTTGTGTTATATTATCTAGCTACTAGATTCATATCATATTTTTTTGGTATGTCCAGGGAGATGTATTGTTTCTTTCGCCACCATGGGGAGGACCAACATATTGCGAAGTCGAAAGTTTCAAGATGGATATGCTCAAGCCAAGAGACGGGTAAACATTAAACAAAGAGAAATTAACTCTTATTATATTTGTGTTTCAATATGCTAATATTTGTTCTTCATTTGT